GATTTTGATGCAAACGTAAAAAGCATCTGAACAAAAAAAACTTCCATCTCAAAACAGTAGTTTGCGCTATTAACACCCAGAGTGTGCAGCACATGGTACGCTTGATCCTTTATTGGGTTTATCTCGTTAATGCATGCTTGTAACCCTTTGTAAGAGCCAGACATGTTGGCCGCGTTGTCATAGCATTGACCTCTACAGTCTTTAATATCACTTCCCATCTCTTCTAAAATAGCTAGTACTGTCCGGCAAAGTGACTCTGGGTAGGCGTTAACATCAGAAAACGTTCCTTGATGCAGCCACTAAGTGTCACATAGCACATAATGAAAGTTGGTTGGTCGGTGTGAAACATCTGGAGTGGAATCGATGCGGATACAAAAGCACTTCATTTCTTTGATCCGACAGATTATTTCAGCAAGCACTTGTTTACCCATTAGTTCAATAAATTCCAAACCAGTATTTGAGGAAAGATATGAAGGCATTCTTCGACCAGCATTGCCATGTCTTTCAACACATTCCTTCAGAAACGGATCAAACTCATTTATGGCTTCAATGAAATTCCCCACCAAACATTTCACTCTGTCCCCACTCTGCTAAAACCCAGATAGCAAGAACGTTTGGGCCAAATGTGGCTGATAGCTGTCACATTTGGCCTAGGCATGGCATTGCTGAGCACATATGGGCCAAACTTGAACCGTATATGTTTGGCCTTGGATTTAGAATTGGAGGGAATTTTCTTTTGGATGGCAATTTTTTGAGGTATATGGCCCAGATGATAGCACACAACTGAGAGCCATATGTGGCTTGGCTATGGCACACCATGGAATATGTTAACTTATGGTTAACATTTGGCTTTTATTTGGAAAAACACATATAAACTGCTGGCAGGTCAGTGGCGGTCCACATCTCAGCCCATTCAACAATGCTATTGGTTGCTTTGTGTCTTCCCTTATTCCTATTGGTGGATTACTGACATTTCCCGCTCTGCTTCCTCTTTCAATCGCCGTAAAAAAATGATGATGACGAAAAAGCTCCCTATTTACAACAACAGCCTTTGCCCAGACACATTCTTGTTCAGATAAGTGCAGTTTTGGTGTTTTAAATGTTTTCTAGGGGTGTAATGGTACACTTATTCGTACCGAACAAATACAGTGTCATTTTAACCACTGCACGCGCGGAACTTAATCCGTTTCGATTCATAGCTGGGAATAAATCTTCACTATACATTATTACTATACATTACAATCTGTAATCGTAAGGTTTGTGTTTTGTTCTTTTCGATAAGAAACAGTCTCATCTTTAAAATGATGTACATTTTATCAGGAAATGAAATCCGTAAATGCCGTTTTGACGCTCTTTGATGTGGCGTGACAGACCGCTGCCAGCGGAGGCGCGGAGAGCGACCCGGTCGCGGGTCTGGATCATATCAACAGCTAAAGTGTGGCCCAGATTAGTTCGTGTTTGCCGGCCCAAAACTGGTCCACATCTTTTTAGCCAGAGCTGAACCTAAACAGTGCCATAACCCAACCCAGAGTGAGCCAAATACCATCACCCCTTCCCTTTAATTCTCTTTTCTACTAGTTACAACCGGTTATAACGCGAAATAAACACGCTCATGTCATGTAATCTCAATCAGTTTTGTAACCGCGGGAAAATGCCAGTAAAACAGCATTACCTTTACCGCAGGCAAGCCATTCAGTGTCCACAGCTTGATGCTAGAAAAGTGCAATGTGCAGTTTATATGTTTGCATACATTTTTTTTAGTGTTGGTTATTGTATCTAAAAATAAACAGAAATTGAATTTAATAGATTGGGCTCTGTTGTTAATTGTAGCCTTTAATATTTTAGTAATGTGCTCTAATAGGGCTCCCTATTGTATAGCATTAGCTAAGATAGATTTTTTATCCTTAAGAAAATTGTAATTATAATTGAGTTTATTTAAAGACAGAGCCATAAATTGTTCAGTAAACCACTGTTTATAAAAATTTTTTAAAAAGCAATTGTGTTTTCTCTCCCTGCTGTACCAAAAATGTATGAAACTGTGACTTCAAAACGGAGGTACAATTACACTACTAATGTTTTCATTAATATTATGTATATTATTAATAGTATTGTCTAAAAATAGCCTGTTATTAAAGTAGCTAAACTGTACCTAATTTAAAAGGCACTCATGTCTTGGGTGATAGAAAAGAATGTGTGCTGTGCTGATTTACACTCATTTATGTGCTTGTCTTGAAATAACATCTAATGTGTGAAACTAATTATGATCTACTAATGTTCTTTTTTCTCTTCTTTCTCCTGACAGACTGTGAGTGAGAAAGACTGGCGAGACTTACTAAAAGGATCCATTTTTGTACATTTATTCACTCGTCTGACATTTGCAAAATAGCACACTTCTGTTATGTTCTGTATTGTAATTCTGTTATTAAAATTCTACCAAAAACATTTAAAAAAATGAGTGTGAATCCATTTTTGTGTTTAAGATTTACTGTGTAATGGGTATTTGAAATAATAATAAAAAAATAGGTGTGGTGTAAATATGGTTAACTAATGGCATTTGGTTTATCAGCCACATGTGGGCCACATGTGGGCCGTCAGCCCTTTACAGAACTCAGCCATATAAGAATACCATATAAGGGCCATATATCAGCCACATCTGTTTTTATTATTCGGCTCACTCTGGGTTGGGTTATGGCACTGTTTAGGTTCAGTTCTGGCTAAAAAGATGTGGACCAGTTTTGGGCCGGCAAACACAAACTAATCTGGGCCACACTTTAGCTGTTGATATGATCCAGAGAGGAAATTTGCTTACTGGGAAGTTTCACCGCAACAGCCACTCTTCTCAAGACGCTTCTCCAGTATTCACATTCACTGTTAAACTGTAGTGTAAGTGCTGAATCTATTTGACAACTATCAGTATTTCTGTGGTGAACAAAATCAATCATGGCCTTCTTATGGCTATCCGAACTCTCATGTTCAGACAAGCTGCATTTTTCCAGTCATTAAAACCTTCTGTCAGCTCTGAGTAATTACTTCTTAGTCCAAATAAACAAAACACTCGAGGGAAAATTTAACTGGCTTTCTGAACCTATCCTGGGCCCATTTTAGCCCAATATACCTGCATTTGCTCATGTATTTCACCCCAGTTGGTACATTGATGTCGATGGCCACGGTCTCAGTTCTGTCAGCTTGTTGAAGGGAAGCTGGTGAAATAGGTAATGGTTGGTTTTTCTGCTATAGTAGCAGCAGGAGATGCTGTGCTTGTGCTCAAATTAGCTGCAGTCGTTAGTGCTCCCTCGTCTCCACAGCCACACCCGGCAAAAGGTGATGATGATGATGATGATGATGATGATGATCCAGCAGCTGAGGCAGATTTGAAATATCCTGTTAATTTTGGAAACTTTTGCAGAAGATCGCTTTCTCTCTCCTCTTTAAGCCTTTGAACTTTACGTTTTTGTGCACTACTTAAATTTCTTTCCTGACATTTCTGATTTTTCTAACTTGTGTGTGGGTGTTAACGAGGTTGCAACTGAAATTGACATAGGGAGGGGCAACGTAAAATTAATCAGTCATATATACACTCCTAAAAATAAAGGTGCTTAAAAGGTTCTTCACAGCGATGCCATAGAAGAACGTTTTTTGGTTCCACAAAGAAGCATTCAGTCAAAGGTTCTTAAAAGAACCATCTCTTTCTTACCTTTTTATAATCTGAAGAACCTTCTTTTGCCACAAACAACCTTTTGTGAAACAGAAAATTAACAGGTTAATGGCTATGGGCAAGGTCTGAAATAGACACCAGTCTTGGCAGTGTGTTCATTTGAATGGATTCAGTTCTTGAACTTAAACTGAAGGAAGGAATTCAGTTCCATCATGCTATAGCGTTCTTATCTTTTTTTAATTTATAGGCAACTAGTTGCATTCTGACAACTTGGCAAGGTCTTTTGGCATATTGATGCCCAGTTTGCCATGCCAAGGGGTATTTTCTTTCAATCTCTTCTGTAGACTATAGTTATATGAAAGCAACTGGGTTTTACCTGTATTCATTTTATATCCTGATAGTTTGCATCAATATAGGTAAAGAATATGTAGGTTGCCCAAAGTAGATAAAAATATCATCCGCGTAACAAACTAATTTCACAACAGTGAAAGAAAACATCCTGGAGAGTTATTTTGTGCCTCTCTGCAATGGGACCACGAGCCGCCGCGTGTTTACTTCTGGAGGGATGTAGGCGCTTAGGAGAGAGCGAAGCACCAATGACTTGAATCATGCGAGCCGCGACTGGTAGCCAGTGCAGAGAGATGAGAAGCGGTGTGACATAGGCTCTCTTGGGCTCAGTGAAAACAAGACGTGCTGCTGCATTCTGAATCATCTGCAGAGATCTGACTGCACATGATGGACGTCCAGCCAGAAGAGCATTGCAATAATCCAGCCTAGAAATGTCAAGCACCTGGACGAGAAGCTGCGTTGCACGCTCGGTTAGGAAGGGCCTGATCTTCCTGATGTTGTGTAGTGCAAACCTGCATGATCGAGTTGTTTTTTGCAATATGATCTTGAAAGGTCAGCTGATCATCAAGGAAACGGTCTACAGGTATGCAGGCAGTTAAACTTCACTGTAAATGCACATACTGTAAATGAATGTGCAATAGTGTACTTCTACAAGAGGATATTTTGGCCGTGAGAGTTTCATGGGGCTCCTTCAGCATCAGGCATGAACATGCACAGAAGAGAAACTTCCACCACACCACTGTCCTCAAGGAGTCCGCCAGGAGCTCCGATATAGAGCCGGAGCAAAACAACTAAACAGCATTTCTCTCAGAAGGTCATGTTTCTTACCCATTTTTTAAAGACAAGCAGCAAATGGCAGACTGGTCTGAAATCAGCATTTTAATGTTTGTTTTAGAATAAACAAAAAAAGTCCAGTTTCAAGATTACCCAAAAAACACAAGGAATCTTATATAATGAAAAACTACATCTTGTCTTTTATCTTTATTCTATCAAAATATCTTTAACTCAAAAAGCACCAACATTATCTTCTGTATCAGAATACAGTCACAATCTCATAAGGAAAAAAATGCAATCATAAGATGATGTAAATTATAATATGCAAGATTAGATAACATAAATACTTGTAAAGCAGTAATTGTGTCATTGTTATTTCCCCTTCACCACTCTGCCTCCCCCACAGCCTTAGAGAAAACATAGTCTTTCCCTCCATAACTCATGACTCCATCTTTCAAGTAAAACTTCCAGCGGTTTTTGCTACGGTGAATCTGTAAAACATACAACAAAAAAACATTTAAAATATTATCAAAACTAGTGAGGTTTTAATGAACTGTAACTCTTAAGTGTTTTGTCAGGGAGATTTGTGCTACAGATATCTGACTAAAATACAAACTGATAGAGATTTAGTACATTTACACATGCAGTTATTCTGGTAACACAGCAGGTGTTTGTGTAGTCGATCTAGTCTTCATCTGCTGACGTCAGCATTCACAGATAATGAAAATGATACATTGCCTTTAGCATTTCTCAGTCACGTGGGTTCAGATAAAGTATAGCAGCTTCTACTCATGGTCAGAATCATACACTAGATTTATGTCTTGCACTAAGTGAAAACAGCAGTATTTTTTAAGAGATATGCTATTTACACAGTGCAAATAACTAGATTTTATTTAAACTGTTAAAATAACAGGATTTTCTGCTATTTATACTAATTATTGCAAATAGTGGCAATTATCTGCTCCTCGATATTGTAGTACATCATAAAACATACAACAATAACATACTGAGAACTGATGTTTGACGAACGTCTTTTACAGTGTTGACTACCCCAATCACACATTGATGGGCAGAGTTAGTGTAGATAGCGGGCTGTTTGCACTAGGGCTATAAAGAAAATTAGAATTTTGAATATTCGTCGAATTAAAAAATAAAAATAAAAATCCACATTCGAATGCAAAAACATTTGAATTTAAGGTCTGCGTCTGCCGTCAGGCAGCTTATCAGTGGCGCACGAGATGCGATGACGATGTATGTGTCATTGATTGCATTTGACTGCTTTTGTTAGTCTATCCAGTTGAACCCACTAGATGCGGCGCTGCTGCGTTGTTCATTCATATATTGCGGAAAACGAGAGCATTAATGTGGAGAAGATGTTGTTTACATCAAAACTGAAACCAAGCCGTTCACACAGAACACATTTATCACATTTTCTAGAGGGACATCTATCAGCGTTGCACTCGCGTCTCGCACAAGATAGCGGCATGTTTAGAAAGCCATGAAAAATTAATGCAAGTTCAACTTTTAAAAAACATGTCTAAAGACGTTATGGCGGTTTTCCCCATCCCACTGTATCTCATGTTTGTAAATTAAGTAAGTAGCCTGCTCTGTGATTGGTTTTCGGTCCTTTGTATTAAACTATACATACATGCATGGTGCTGTTTTTTTCTTCTAATTGTTTAAGCAACTTTATTAATTATATATGGTTTATAAACATTATTTTAAACATTATTGACTTTTTTTTCCCCAAAGATAGTCGTTTTATTTTATTACGCTTTGAAGAAACATGCATATTTTGCTCGATGCGCTCTCTTGTGGCCTCAGGAGAGAAGCCAAAAGCTTTTTTCCCCTTAACTTTTAAATTAGAATATAATTCAAATTTTGATCATATTTAAGTAGAAAATTTGGATTTAGTTTTTCAGTCATTTTGACGGCCCTAGTTTGCACTCAGTGTAAATAGACACTCCGAAACATTAAACCTCAGTATTTTAAAATATCAGTTTAAAATTATTATGTGTTAAAATATTAGTATGTTTTGGCAATAAAATGTCAACCTACAGTGGGGAAAAAAAGTATTTAGTCAGCCACCAATTGTGCAAGTTCTCCCACTTAAAAAGATGAGAGAGGCCTGTAATTTTCATCATAGGTATACCTCAACTATGAGAGACAAAATGAGAAAAAAAAATCCAGAAAATCACATTGTAGGATTTTTAAAGAATTTATTTGCAAATTATGGTGGAAAATAAGTATTTGGTCAATAACAAAATTTCATCTCAATACTTTGTTATATACACTTTGTTGGCAATGACAGAGGTCAAACATTTTCTGTAAGTCTTCACAAGGTTTTCACACACAGTTGCTGGTATTTTGGCCCATTCCTCAAGAGCAGTAATGTAATCTCACTATACATGGCCCCATTCATTCTTTCGTTTACACGGATCAGCCGTCCTGGTCCTTTTGCAGAAAAACAGCCCCAAAGCATGATGTTTCCACCCCCATGCTTCACAGTAGGTATGGTGTTCTTTGGATGCAACTCAGCATTCTTTCTCCTCCAAACACGTTGAGTTTTTACCAAAAAGTTCTATTTTGGTTTCATCTGACTATATGACATTCTCCCAATCCTCTTCTGGATCATCCAAATGCTCTGTAGCAAACTTCAGACGGGCCTGGACATGTACTGGCTTAAGCAGGGGGACACGTCTGGCACTGCAGGATTTGAGTCCCTGGCGGCGCAGTGTGTTACTGATGGTAGCCAGTTGATTTCTTCACACCAAGCTGTTTACCTATTGCAGATTCATTCTTCCCAGCCTGGTGCAGGTCTACAATTTTGTTTCTGGTGTCCTTTGACAGCTCTTTGGTCTTGGCCATGGTGGAGTTTGGAGTGTGACTGTTTGAGGTTGTGGACAGGTGTCTTTTATACTGATAACAAGTTCAAACAGATGCCATTAATACAGGTAACAAGTGGAGGACAGAGGAGCCTCTTAAAGAAGAAGTTACAGGTCTGTGAGAGCCAGAAATCTTGCTTGTTTGTAGGTGACCAAATACTTATTTTACCGAGGAATTTACCAATTAATTCTTTAAAAATCTTACAATGTGATTTTCTGGATTTTTGTTTTCTCATTTTGTCTCTCATAGTTGAGGTATACCTATGATGAAAATTACAGGCCTCTCTCATCTTTTTAAGTGGGAGAACTTGCACAATTGGTGGCTGACTAAATACTTTTTTGCCCCACTGTATTTGCTGATCAACACATATTAAATGTCTTCATCCACTAATATTTGGTAACTACTAGTTACCAAAGTAGTTGGTACCTAGTATAATGGATTCAGCTGGCCTTTTCCCCCAAACCATTCATTGAATATTTAACAAAGACACATTTAGAAAAACTATACACAGAATCCAATGCTCTTAGTATCTTCTGAAAAACTCCACACAAAAATGCAATCAAAATAAAAAAAACTATTTGTGACAGAACTTGGCGTGTTGTCTCCAGATGGCTGTGAGTAAGATGTAGGCCAACTGTAAGACGGAAAAGACCCTGTGAGATGACCAACTATTCTCCTTTAAAGCACCTCAGTATGTGTGATGTCAAGGCTACAGGGCTATGATTATTAAGACTAATGCTAACATCAGGTTTTTTTTAATAACTGGAATAAGACAATTCCACATTCTCATGAGGAACACCATCAGTGGCTGCTGCTTTATTAGTCTTCATCTGTTTAACTGCAGTCAAACCTCGTCAACAGTAATACCAACAGATGTGAGGATGCTCTCACGAGAAAGATTCATCAAATCATTTGCCTCATTCATCCCAGCCCCATAAACGTGTCAGTTTCTCAATGTGACGCTGTGTGTCTCCATCAGCCAATCTATGAACCCATAAGAGCAAAGTCCTTGCACACAGAGTCCGAAATTATTGTGTGCGTTTTTTCGTATTCGTCATCCTTAAAATCAGACACGCACAGAAACCTTAAGCGAATCAATTAATCCCTTGCGAAAAGATTTCACAAAACAATACAAAATGGAGTCATCAAACAGTGAGAATGATTTTGTTGTCCTCTCTCTTCTTAAAAAGAGAAAAAGAAAGGAAATATTGGGTCCATCTAATCCTGAGACAGAGAGGAAGGAGTGGGATTATCACGGGCGATTCGAAGTTTACTTCAGGATGTCAGTAAACGTTGATGCACTGCTAGCGGTACTGGAACCACATATTAAAAAGACGACCACCAATTTCTGTGAACTCCGTGTGCAAGGATCTTTACAGTGCTTAGTGCTGCGAGACGAAGTGGATCAACTTGTCAGACGCCATTCTGGATTTGCTCACTACGGATGCGAAAAACGCAGAAAAATCGAACTTAATCCGAATTTTTTAATGACGGATGAAAGTTTGAGGCAGTGTGTAAACCTGATTGACACAAGGTGAGGTCGTATTTTTTTAACGTGTGAAAATTTCAGACGGCAATTTCTGACTCGTGTGCAATGACCTTAAAGAATCACTCTCAAGACACCAGCTTACTTTGATTTCATTTTGCTTGTATTAACGGGGTGGTTTAATCTTTATCCAGTGTATTCTACAGGCTGATCTCTTTCACCTCATTCAGAAGCCTCTTCTCTTTCCTTTACCTTGTCATACTGGCACACAATGACGTTCTCCGTGTCAAAGATCTCTGGGATGTCCTGTTCGCTCACGTCATCTCCAGAGTTCAGCGGATCCTGAAACAGACGCATTCATTAAACTGCATCAGATTTTCACGAGCAGGTGACTGAAGCAGTGCCAGACTCGCCGACAGCGGGGTGAAAATCATGATCCAGCCCCATTTCTGGAATAACTACCGAGGCCGGGATCTTATAAAATGGTTCTTTCTGACACTTTGTTTCAATAAACTAGTTAAAAATAATTTTTAAAAAAAAGGCGATTGACATAGTTCTTTTATGTAACTAGTAACAATATTTAACTAGTATGTATTTTTAGTATGCTGAAAAAATTCTAATAAAGCCTGTGTGTGCTTATTACTTTTGATTCGCTCGAGCTAATGCTGTTTGTTGTCTGTGATCCTGAATGTTGAACAGCATACAACTGACCAGTCCACATCTTCAGCAAGTTCCAATGTATATTTGTACCCATCATAATACAGTAGGAAAATACATGGAAAAAATATATATAGAATACAAATTATTGGTTATCATCCAGCAGTGTAGGCCTATTTGATTTCTTAGCCAATTAAAAGACATAAGAAAAAGCAAAACCTTTCAATTAGACAAAAGTCAAGTGTTTTTTTTTACATTTCTGTCCCCCTAATTTCTGAAATGATGGCTACGCCCCTGTGTGTGCAGGACAGAAAACACCGTGCCAGTCCCCTGCTAGAATGGTTTAAAGTCATATTAAAATGCACACAAAGGAATCGATAAAAGGGAATCTATTTTAATTTTATAACAAGTAGATGATTCCTGATCTTAAGCATCCTATTCCAGAATTGGAATAGATTTTGGATTCCCAAGCCTAGGAATGGGTTAACATGTTAAATAAAATGCTCTTTTTTTGTCCTACCGAAAATGTGCCTGGAGTCCACCTTTGTTAGAATCAGAACCTCATTTCAAGCAAAAAATTACTTACAGAACATATATATATGAGCTGAATACAGCTTACATTTATAACAAAGAAAAAAACACGACGACTAAGAGAAAGCTTCAGTTTAAGGCTGTAAGTGCTATCATTACCTCTTCCTCTTCCAGCTCCTCCTCCTCCTCCTCAGTGGCATTGATCATTCCCAGAAACTCCTTCTCTCCAACGAGCCCCAGGTCATCATCATCATCACCATCTTCCTCCGTGTCCGAGCTGCTGTCAGCGACTCCGTCCAGCTGTGTGATGTCCAGCAGCTGCTTGAATTTGAGCTCGGTCTGCAGCTCCGTCTCAAGCTGAGGAAACATCATCAGAGTCATGTTCAGCAGCAGTGTTTCTACATTGAAACCACAAGAACCACAAGGCTACGTGAGGACAGTTTTTTTCAGGTGAACTGAAATGAAAAATCTCTTATTTACTCACACTCCTGTCATCTCAAAGTAACCCATAGGATTTTCTCTTCTCCGCTCTCAAATCTCACTCACAGACTTTGTTACAATCTGATTTACATCCACATTTTTCAATGGATTTCACAAACACTTTCAAACAATGGGCAAATAATTCTCTCCAAATATTGCCGTTTTATGAGGATTTTTTTAAATTCCAGAATCACTATAATTCATATTTACTTGCTTTGTTTTAGTCTTTGCATGCAGACGAGGTAGAGAGAAGTTACCAATTTTATTCCAGCCGAGGGCAAAATGCATTTGTTGTTATCTGCGAGTATTACTTGAGGTCACTTCCCTTTCAGAATCAGAAAGAGCTTTATTGCCAAGTGTGTTTATATACACACACACACACACACACACACACACACGAGGAATTCGTCCAGTACAGAAAGTACAGACATACAGTGCCGTTCAAAAGTTTGGGATGAGTAAGATCTTTAATGTTTTTGTTTTTTTTAAGTCTGCATTTATTTGATCAAAAATACAGAAAAAAAAACTTAAGCCATTTTGTGAAATATTATTGCAATCTAAAATAAGTTTTCTATTTTAATAAACTTATTTAACTTAAAACTGTAATGTATTTCTGTGATGCGCAGCTGTATTTTCAGCATCATTCCTCCAGTCTTCAGTGTCACATGATCTTCAGAAATCAGTATAATATGCCGATTTATTATCAGTGCTGGAAACCTTTGCTGCTTCATATTTTTGGGGACCGGTGATATATTTTTTGTCACAATTCTTTGATGAATAAAAAGTTAAGAAGAAGAGCATTTATTTACAGTATTTATTATTGCAATTATATTTCTCAATTAATTTTTTCTGTATTTTTGATCAAATTATAAATACAGTCCCGATGAGCGTAAGAGACTCCATTAAAAACATTACAATCTTAGTGATCCCAAACTTTTGAACGGCAGTGTACATATAATTTAAGCTAATCAAATGAAATAACACTAATAATAAATAGAATAGACAACGAATTAAAAAAAACTAACTATATAGCAATAGAAATGTATAGAAAATATATATCAACACAGACAGAATTATAAACGCACAAATGAGCTATTTACAGCGGAAAGTTATTTGGTGAGATGTGCAGTCCTGTATTGCTCGGTGGAACGAGTCTGGAGGTGGTAGTGACTAGAACTCAGCACTGCTGTCGTGTTCACAGGTGTTCACCTTGATGTCAGGAGCAGCTTCAGTCTGCAGGTCTGGAAGGGCAGTGGACTGCTCTCTCTGCTGCCGGCTGTAATCGGAGCGCAGGGCCTGAGCCGGCGGAGTGCTCATGTCGGCGGGCTGCGGGCTGAACTCAATGCCGTCCAGTGTGAACTCGCTCTGAGCGTCAGAGGCGGCCAGCGAGGCTCCGTCAGCGCTCTGGCGGTTCAAAGGCGTCTCACACACTGAGGCTGCTGGAGCCGGATCAGACAGATGGGTCAGAGCGCTGCTGCGGGCCACAGCCGCGGGGTTCAGCACATGCTGAGATCCTCGCGTCACCATCACAGGAACATTCACCTTATAGAAATGCCCTGAGGAGAGAGTCATGCTGCCAGTTCAGATCATTTACAGCAGCACAGAGTGGCTAGTGGACTCCTCAACTCCATCTCAGTCTGCTAATCTCCATTCAGAGAGGCACAGCTATGATCTACTGACCAGACAAATATTTGCCTTTATTTATTTGCTCAATGTAATAAACCAAATCACTTTATTGTGTTTATCATAATTCTCCACGCTTTACATTTTGAAAACTGCCGGTGTAGAGCCAGAGGCGGACAGTAGTGAAGTATTTTTACTCTGCTTTAAAAGTACTTTTCAAGTGTCTGTGCTTTATCAGTGTTTTTCTTTACATTCCAAAGCATAATATTGTACTTTTTACTGCACTACATTTCATATTAAATATAATACTTAATCACATTAGAAATCTAGTACTTTCTTACTTTTACTCAAGTAAACTTACTCAAGTACAAGAAAGTACTACATTTTTAATATTCTTAAGTATTAAAGGTAAAAAACAACAACAACTACTTTTATTTATGAACGTAGTGCAGTAAAAACTACGACATTATGCTTTGGAATGTAGTGAAGTAAAAGAAAAACAGTCTGATAAAGTGCAGACACTTTTTAATTTACTCGAGTCAAGTAGAAATACTTCGCTACTGTCCGCCTCTGATTAGAGCTGCTGAGTTCATAAGTGTATGATTAAACACACTGCTTTGGTCTTCAGTCTGCAGCATGTGAATGATCTGATGTGGCAGACCACGCTGGATCCAGACACTTTAACATTCATCTGAACCCGTTTTTAGGATTAATGCATGTCCTTTTCACTAAGTCCTCTATCACTCTGCAGAGTCTGCAAGCTAAAATCATTTGAACTCAAATTAATGTTTCAAGTTCACTGTGCCTGAAAATACCCAGCTCAATCCCAGCAGCTGAGTCCTTAACCATCTTCAAGAATCGGCTAAAACACATCTCTTCCATCTTTATTTGACCCTCTAACTCTAGCACTCTCTATTCTAATTCTATTTTATCTATTTGTTTTCGGTTTTATTTATTATTATTTAGTGTTTTCTAACTGTTTTCCTAAAAGAAAAAAGCTAACACTAGCTTTCTATATTCTTTTTCTATTCTATCTGCCTGTTTTCACTGTGCGCGTGTATGTATTTATATAAATTATATATAAATATATACACACACACACACACACACGGGCGACATTAGGGAGGGGCAAGGCCCCCCC